CATTAACAGAGCACAGATCACATTACCATCATGTGCCACAGCAGATGTCAGAGTAAAGAGAAGCTCTGACTTTGCAGTGTAAATATCTAAAATATAACCAAGTTGCAGATCAGAAAAAAAATACCTCTATTTGGTCACTCTATTAAAGAAAAAAAAAATCTTAAAAATATGTTTAAAGTTCTGGTTACTCTTCTGCTGAAGATTATGGCCTTTATATAATAGAATACAGCGAAACTTAGGAAAAAAGTCCTTATTTGACATAGGGAAATATGAATTATCATAGGAAATTTTGGGCTTCAGTGTTAGTGATCACAGTATTTTTAAAAGTAAACAAATTTACTTGAGAGAGGAAGCATTAAAACTTGTTGTTACAATTTAAATCAGAAAAATTGGGCATGTCTTTGGTTCAATTTAAGACACTGTTTTATGGTTGGGACTGTCTTATGCAAACTGATATGCCTCAGCTTCATCAAATCTACATCAGCTTTTGTGGTGATAATTGTTATCAGTGCCCACTTGTTAGAAAGATCATATAGGAAATATCTTTATAAATAACATGTAAAAGGATAGTCAGTCCCTACTAACTCCTCATGTGCCCTACTGGAAGTAAGAAAATAAGACAAAATAAATCCAGATGTGTTATATGAGGGTTATGGTCTTGCTATCTTTAGCACATCCATGCTCACTTTTGGGTTACCGACCTTCCAGGTTACAGTTGTTTGTTGGGCTCACACTCCCTGTGTGACAACCTGGGTGGTTTTTTTAATACAGTTGGGTACAATTATTGAATAGGGTAACTCATGGGTATTTGGATAATTCATTACCAAGAATTCCTGTGAAAATATATGCTATGCATGTAAAGAAAACAGAATCAAGGTAGAAGAGAATAGTTCTAATTTGTTTTAATATAGAATGTAACAGCTTACTGAGCTGAGAATGTAATCCTTTAAACTTTGTCAGTCTGTATTAAACCTGTAGTGAAATAACAGTATCAGTCTTGCATTGACACTTCAGACTCCAATATATGAGTCTTACAAAATCTCTTCCTCATCTTGTAATTCATATCCAATTCATAATCAACTATGGAAGAAAACTATTTGCATTTCAGACACATATATGAAAAATATATATTAAACCACTTTTACACATACTTCTTTTGGCTTTTGTGCTGTTCATGCAAAAACAAGTTTGAGTATTTGGATAATATTTTACAATCAGAACTTGAAGGCCATTCTGTATTCTATGTTTTTCTTTATGAGCTTGATACTGACATATTTTCTCATGTTACTTATTTTCTTAAAATAACCTTAAAAAAACCCTTGGATTTTGTGTTTTAGAAAGTTTGTGAGGTTACTGATATCTATTAACTATTAAGATTACACATTTTATAATAGCTTAATATATCAAGAAGTAGTTGAATATTATTTTCAAATAAAACACTTAAAGGAGAATGGGAAGCACAAAAGAAAATTATTTCATTGTACTGAATATAAATTTAATTGGGCCATTTGCTGACAGAATCCTGTGCTAGCGAGGAGGAGATAAAATATGACATATATGTAAGAAAAATGAAAGCTGGAAGATGAATAGGCCTTCTAGGGAGTTGATCTTTACAGATCAGATAAAGATTCGTGCTGTCTGTGCTGGATCAAAGGCTGCCTTTCAGAGATGGTAACATGAACTTGGAAACTGGGGACAAGACCTTCGAAAATAGGGGGTTTTGAGATTGACAAGCAGCTGGGCTTTGGATCTTTTTAGTTGTTTTCCTTTTCTATTATGTGTGTGTGTGTTTGTATGTGTATAATCTTTTAAAATCCCTTTAAAAGTTAAAGAAAGGTTCTTAGGCTGGTGGAGTGAATTAACACTTGCACCTTATCTAGCTTTTCAATAGCTGTTCTCCTTTGAAGATAACCTTTCTCTTTCAAAGATACAAGGAAATCTAGTGGAGGGTACCTCTTGACTCCTTTCAAAGTTTGATTAAAAATACTTACTTGTGAGCAGTGACTGATTTCTAAGGGATTTTTTTTTTTTTTTTTAAATTGATGAGCTAAGTATTCTGGAAATTCCTTAAAATAATGCCCACTGCATCCTACTAAGAAAAAAAAAAGCAAGAGACAGAGAGAGAGAGAAAGCTGTTCTCATTAATAATTAAAAAAAAAGGTTTAAAATAAATTTTAAAAATATATAGAAGTAATTGTTTCATCTAGGAAAATTTATTCAATAAATTGCATGTTTAATCAAAGTGTTTCCAAGCACCTTAAATTGGACATCAGCTACTGTGTCAATCACCCTGGCTAAATCTGGCATCAGCTCCTCTGATCCCTTACTTAAAAAGCACCATCACACAGCTGTCAGGCATCCTCCAAAGGACATGGATAGATGCTGCAGCATTCTGTTAGCCTTTGCAGCCCTCTCTCCCTGGTCATGGTTTCTCAATTTATTTACTAATTCAGAGTAAATCTGTGTTCTCCAGCAGACTGCACGAAGTAGCGTTTTTTAAATATAATGAAGTAAGCCAGAACATTTCTGTTACATGTTAGTTTTGTTTCTTTTTTCCATTTTTAGTTTTGTTCTGCTTTTCCTACTCTGTATCCAAAAAGATGCTGTTAAATAGAGCTTTGTTCAAGGCATGAAAACATCTCACAGCTTTCATCTACACAGAAAGCAATAGAGAGGGCATAGAGGAAAAAAATTATTAAAAGCTAATATTCAAGAATATTGTTTAAAAGCATTTCTTCTTATTTTCTTACACAGAAAAAATAGTATCTCAGGATTTTAGTATTTGCTGGAGAAACCTGTAGGGAGCTGCAGTGGGTCATGGTGTTAAAGAAGCTGATGCCTTATTAAACCCTCATTGTAATGAGAGGGAAAATGGGAAGCTCCAGGTGTCAGCCGGCTGTTGTGCAGCTTCTCTGTCAGCGTTCTCCAGAGACTCTTCCATCAAAACAGGGAAGGCCAGACCTGACATTTGCATAACTCAAAAGGAAGCAGGCATGATTTCTTTGAGATGAAAAATTACTCTCCTTGTGTCACAATAGAAAGCACAAGTAACTTGAGTTTGCTTGGCTGCCCAGCTATTTTCGGCCGAGGAGTGTTGACACAGGGTAATATGAGGTACATTCTAAGTATACATTCCCACTAAAGTACTGGATACCTTGCAGATAATTTTTCTAAAAATTGATCAAATAACTGGAAGAGCAACAAAAAAGCCCCTGATTTTTTGACAGTAGAGCAAAAGATTCTTCAGGTAAGCAGTGATGAAGAAATCAATAAAGTATCTCAGCCAGCTGCCCTGGTCCTGACTTGTTGTCATGTGTACTTCCATTATGGTGTTCGGTGTGTGGTTCTAGGAGTCAAGGAACAACTGTTTTCTCATTGGTTATTACTATTTCTTAAGCAGTTTGCTTGGACTTTTGTATGAGCCTGATTAGCTTTAACAAAGCTCTGTACGCATGCCCTGAATGCCAGCCTCTCATTTTTGAGGCTATTTTAAGGTGTAAAGCATTGTAGATATTGCATGTAGGGTTATTTTAGAAGGTTGCTTAGCCAGTTAGGATGGGCTCTAACTACTGAAAAACTGAAAAATTCTAAAGGAGAATAAGAATGCAATTTTTTGAGGGATATTCTTTTTATTCCCCTTCATTTCAGACAAGAGAAAGCAACCCAAGCCCTTTTTTTTTTCCTTTTTGTTTTGCTTTAAACATTTTCACTTTATAGTGCAGATAAGCTAGGAAATCTGCCATTTGAACTGGGGAACTTCAAGCATGGCTTCAGTTCTTTCCATGGAAAATTCTTAATGGTGTTAATGATGTGTATATATTTCTCTCCATAATCCATCTATCCTTTTGTGCATTTGGGTTCTGCTGTCTTTTGTGGTTCTCAGAGTACCTTAAGGCAATGGAGCAGACTGTGAAGGAAATCTGAGGGCAGTGTTAACTGCAGCTATTTACACATGTAGTAAGTGTTATATCTTGCTTTGCTACAGTCTGGTGAAATATGACTTAATCATCTTGAATTTATCAGAGGATATACAAATTTCAATGCAGAACAGGCTAGATTAAGTGAATACATTAGATGGACAAAGTTGTTCTAGTGTATTACGGAAAAAATGAAATGCTGTAGATGTTTGTCCAGTGCAGTCAAGAGAGAGTTGGACTGTGCTTTTTTTACAATATAATGTATGAAATGATACCATAGTTTTAATTTGGTTAATGTGGTACTTGGTTGCTGTGGATGTACCTCCAGTGAGCAGTGCCTGTAAAGTGCTGGTAGCTTTCTATTAGCTTAGAATCATTTGAATTGACAATAAAACTGACTGGGGACACATTTTGTGGCAGTAGAGGGCATAGGTTTGTTGACTTTTTTTTTTTTTTTTTTTTTTTTTTTAAAAAATTATTTAAAACCTAAAAATAAGTTATATTCAAAGCATTAAATATGGGGGAAATGCCCTCTAGGAACATGCCTGTTACTCTCTGGCTGCTAATTCAGTGCATGAGATCAGGCTCCAGCTAGTCCAAAACTACTGAGTTTTTTTGCATCGCTAATAATCACAGGGCTTTCAGGAGTTTCTATAATTGAAGCTAAATGATATAACAGAGAAATAAAGGTCCATAACACGGCATTTTAATATGTACTTGTCATTAGATAGTACATTAAATTAATACACATAAGACAAGGTAGTGTGCGTAAAGAGAGGGTATTTTCCGCAGGATGTTGATGGATTTTTAACTCAACTAAAACTTCATAAATTATATTGGAGTGAGGGTTAAATTTTCTAATGCATTAAGGTACTTAAATATCAAATAATACAGAAAATAGCATTTTTTAGATGAAATGGTTCACCTTGACTCAAATGCACAGTCTTCAAATAAATGCAAAAAGCATAGATATAAAATTTATAGAGAGAAAATATGCATAGGAAAAACTAAAAGAGAAAGACTTTTCTACATGAAGAATCAGTAAAGACTAAATTTTATGTCCTGTCTCTCTTTGTTCTTCAGCGCCTTGCTAAAGAAGCAGAGAAGTACCAGGCATCGCATCAGTGGAGGGATGAGTTTGGGGTAAGCTTCATTTTTTCTCCTTTTAACCTTCTTGGATTTTTCCTCTTTGAACTGTTAACTGTAGTCTTGCAAGATGTTGTTTACATATCTACTACAGAAAGGGTTACCGACTATGAATAGACAGTCTATTTAATTCAGTAAACAGAGTCTCAGTCAGGGTGTCTAGAGAATAAAATGAACTTTTCCCTTCAGAAGCTCATAGGGAGCTTCACAGACCAGGGATGTAGCTGTGAGTTGTACACAAGACATCTGTTTGTTTTGACAGACAAGCAATGATTACAGAGAAGACATTTGAGTGATGGTTGCTGCCAGTTAAAAGTGTGCTTATTCCAAACACTGAAACAGAATCATAGAAAAGATTTTTACAAGTTGTCTTTTTCTTATGTAAAGGGGAAAAAAAAACAAACAAGAAAAAACTTAATACAGAAGGATTTGATTATCTGCATGACTTGAGAGTCATAGACTTTTTTATAGAATCCCTTTCCATATTTTAACAACTGCATCTCTTCTTTCAATATTCTAGTACTGCTGAAAGAGGCCCCAGCCTGGTCAAACATTAAATTATCTTCTTTATTCATTTCAGGCTTTACTGAAAAATAAGTGGCATGATTTTAAAATGTACAACCTTGATGTTTTTGTTTCCAATTTGGCCAAATTAATATTGTGTTGCATGATTATAAGCCTCTTAATTGTACATTATAGTTCCCGGCTAAGTGTCAAAATTATTTATTATGCCTTTGTTCCATGTTCCTTCAGAAATAAAAGCAGATGGTACTTTTACATTATGCTGCTCCAAACCTGGACTGTGTTTGCACATTCATGAGACTCACTTAGAACACGGTTAAATGCACAGTGTTTGGTTGTGGTGGTTTAACCCCAGCTGACAAGTAAGCACTGCACAGGCACTTGCTCACTCTCAGTTGGGATGGGGGAGACAATTGCAAGAGTAAAAATGAGAAAACTCATGGTTTGATATAAAGACAGTTTTATAAGTAAAGCAAAAGTTGCACTCAGTAGCAAAGCAAAACAAGGAATTCCTTCACCACTTCCCATGGGCAGGTAGGTGTTCATCCATCCTCAGAAAAATGGGGCTCCTTTGCCCTTAATGATGACTTGTGAAGACAAGCACCATCGCTCCAAAAGTCCAGCCCTTTCCTTCTTCTTCCTCCAGTGTTATACTCTGACCAGGGAGCTGCATGGCATGGGATATCCCTTGGGTCAGTTGGGGTCAGCTGTGCACCCCAGCCTCCTCACTGGTGGGGCAGAGTGAAAAACAGAAAAGGCCTGAGATGCACAAAAACACGCCTCAGCAATTAAAAAAAAAAAAAAAAACCAAAACAAAAAACCAAAACCAAAAACAAACAGATCAGAATTATCAACACTTTTTCCAGAACAAATCCAAAGTATAGCCCATGCTAGCTACTATGAAGAAAATTAGTTCTAACCCAGTCAAAACCAGCAGACATATTAATTCTGATCCAGTTTTACTCAGGCACTTGAACATCTGAAAACAGACAAAAACGCTGCTAAGGTCAGGCCATGTAATTCAGATAGGAGTGACTGACTTCAGGAGTACAGAGAGTCTGGACACAGCCTGAATGCTTTTAAGTGTGCTCTCTGCACAGGCACAGCTTCCAACGCACAGTAAAACACACAATGCATATTCCATGGAGATGCTGTAACAAGAATGCTGCAGCGACCTTTTCTGCTAATCTGTCTCTCCTGTGACTGGAAAACAAAACCTGCAGGCTTGATGGACTCAGTGCAGAGCTGTGTGAATAAGTCAGAATCTTATTCTAATAATTTTGCTTCTGCGCTATATTCTGGCATCATGTCAACACCGCCTCAGCTTTTGTTTTTCTTTTTATCCTTTATTTTTTCACAGTACAAGTCAGTTATAGCAAAGAGGCTTCAGGTTTTATCTGAGTTCATTGCCAAGGAGACATCTCAAAATATTTTGGAAATGTGATTTTATATTGATGTTGTAGTTCGTGCAAAGGCCATGGTCAGTATTGAAAAAAAAAAAAACCAAAAACAAAAGGCAGTTGGATTTATAATGAAGTAACTGCAAAGTGAGATTGTACTTTACTGTTTTGAATTTGGATCAGAACAGTGTGCACCGTATAATAACCTTGACATTAGGTTATGCAATTAAATTTCAAATAAATGTATTAAGCCTCTTATAATTTAATTTGTTCCATTTTTGCCAGAAGTAATCTTTCTTCTCTTCTGGCCTACTTTTTAGAAAATGCCTGCTCAAATTAGTTTGCACACAGATCTTTCTGATAAACTTAATTTAGAAGAAGATTCATTCTCCTAATGGCTGTGATGGAAAATAGAAGATAGACCGCAAAACTTTCTGCAGTTAAAGGTTCTTAAAGTTCCTCTGATAGCTTTATGAATGGTCTATATCGTGCTGCATGAGGTTCATTTCTCATCCAGGATTTAGGTTTGGGTGATGAAAGCCCTTCCAGCAGCATTGCACATGAGTCACTGTAGAATGAAACTCATGGGACAAGCTATTTCTGCTTCTAATGAGCTTGTGATCAGCAATGTCCTTGACAGTCAGATTGCAGCCAAATAATAGCCTATGGAGTTTTCAGGAGAAAATATCACAAGCATTCCTCCTGGGGAAGTGTATATAGGCTGACTTGAGTGGAACATATGCAAAGAAGAAAGGGCAAAGAAGTCTGACTGTGAGACCAAGGTCTGTACAGAGCTACAAGGGATGTGTCAGTCAAAAGACCACCAGGGTGCCTGTTTTAACACCTTACTCTGAGTGGGTTTTACAAAGTTCACAGCAAAAGATACGTGCAAACATTAAAAAAAAATTATTTTCATGTTAATGTCACAGTATAATCAAAATTCAGCGTCTTTTATGCAGTCTTTTGAAATAAGCTACTACAGGGAAAAACCCCAGATTTACTCCCACAGACTTTTTTTTTTTTTTTAATTTCACCTAATAATCTAGTGTAAAGACTTTGCAAATTGTCTAAAGTACAGAATTTGTTTGTCCTTTAGAAAAATGGTTAGGAGACTAAACTATCTACCAACATACAGATCCACATGTACTGAAATTCCTTTTTCTGTACTATTTCTAATTGAATAAGAGTATAATTTATTTCAATATTTTAGGTGCAGTAGTATATTAAATTCCAACTGTTTCAAGCAGACCAAACAGTTAAAAACAAACAAAACTTAAATTTTGAGTCTTTTATAAATCACAGAATCACAGCATGGTTTGAATTGGAAGGGACCTTAAAAATCATCTTGTTCTGACTCCGTTGCCATAGGTAGGGACACCTTCCACTAGACCAGATTACTCAGAGCCTCATCCAACCTGTTCTTGAACACTTCCAGAGAAGTTCCCTGGGAAATCTGTGGCAGTACCTCACCATCTTCACAGGAAAGAATTTCTTCCTAGTGCCTAATTTAAAGCTACCTTCTTTCAGTTTAATAGAATCATAGACTATGCTGAGTTTGAAGGGATCCATTAGGATTATCGTGTCCAACTCATGGCCCTGCACAGGACACTCTAATCACACCCTGTGCCTGAGAGTTGTCCAAACATTTCCTGAACTCTGTCAGCCTTGGTGCTGTGACCACTTCTCTGGGGAGCCTCTTCCAGTGCCCAACTATGAGGGAACTCTGGGAGAAAAACCTGTTCCTAATATCCAACCCAAACCTCCCCCAACTCAGCTGCAGGCTGTTTCCTTGGGTCTTGCCGTGAGAGTGAAGAGATCAGTGTCTGCTCTGCTGCTGCCCCTTGTAAGGTTGTAGAAGACCACACTGAGGTGTCCCTCAGTCTCCTTTTCTCCAGGCTGAACAAACCCTGTGGCCTCAGATGCTCCTCATAAGGATTTCCCTTGCTTTTCTTTGGACATTCTCTAATATCTCAATGTCCTTTTTATATTCTGGTGCCCAAAATTTCCCCCAGCACTCGAGGTGAGACCGCCCCAGTGCCTGGCTGCTGTTGCTGTGCCTGAATCCCCCAGGACAGAGCTGGCCCTCCTGGCTGCCAGGGCACTGCTGGCTCATGTTCAACTTGCCAGTGACCAGGACCCCCAGATCCCTTTCTACAGCTGCTCTCCAGCCTCTCACTCCCCAGTCTGTAACACATCCAGGGTTGCCCCATCCCAGGTGCAGAATCTGGCACTTACCCTTGTTAAAGCTGATCAGACTGGTGGTTGCCCATCACTCCATCACTCCAGTGTATCGAGATGTCTCTGCAGGACCTCCCTGCCTTTGAGGGAGTAGACAGTTCATTCCCAGTTCAATGTCATCAGGAAATTATCTTAGTATTCCTTCAAGCCCTGCATCCAAGTCATTGAAGGTGATGCTGAAGAGAACCAGGCTGAGGATGGAGCCCGGTGGGACCCCAGCAGTGACAGGTCCCCAGCCTGATGTCCCCCACTCTCTGTAACCTTTGTGCCTGGCCTGTGACCCATTGCTCATCCACTGTGTAACTCAGTTATCCAGCTGTGAGCTGGACGTTTTGGAAACCTAAAATTAGTTAAGAGCATGCATCTTACATATTACCATTAGTTTTAGCTAAATGACAGAAAAAAATCATTATTGATATGGGTATTTTTCACTGATAATAAAATATCAAAACACTTTTGGAAATGACAAGTTTAATTTATTAAGGGCACAAAGTTCTTCAAAGCAATATTAAATAAGAATAGCAATTAAGAATATCAAATATCTTCTAAGGGAAAAAAATAAATATTGGATTGTGATGTGTTATTTCTTGATGAAGCACAGAGTTGGTTAAAATAGTTGAACTGCAGTTTACTTGTATGGCCTGGAAACAATACTTACCTATTAGAAAACTGCTAGGTTCCAACAGAATATTTGTGAAGCTTATGAAGGCGATTCAAAAGTGCTTATCTTCAGGCAAATGAAGAAATGCCATTCTCTGTTTCCTACTCCATTGGTACTGCCCAATTCCCCAGCTGCATGTACAGCTGGAGGAATTAAGCCTGCTTGAATATTTTAGA